GGGGAAGAGGGGTTGGTTGGCCAGGATGGGGTGTTTAAGGTAGGGAGGGCAAAAGGGGTTGGGTAGGTGGCTACAGAGCCTCTCCCTGAGCGGACTGGGTTTTCTCTTCCCTTTACTTCAAAGGATTGGTCTGGCTCTCATCAACCCACCCCTCCCCCAAATCCCCCCCCAGCGTGGCCAGTCTCATGCCCGTAGCCAGAGCTCCCCAGTTGCTTTACGGGCTGCTGCCCTCGTCAATCCCCAAGGCCTGTCACCTTCTGAAAAACTCCTCCCCACCTTGCCCTGGGCAGCACAGTCGTCTCCCAGTCTCCTGCTTCTAAAAGTGCAGGTGACGGGAAGACTTATTCCAGCCCACGCATTTTTCTGTAGTGTCTAATGGAAGGAAAAAATCAAGGACTTTTTGCCTTCCCTGAGGGATTCCGATAATGTAACTAATCTAAGCACCCAGATACATTTCTCCCAGCTGTCATCTTCAGCCCAGCTCCGACTGCTTGGGCGGCATAATGCAGAGCTTGAACGAAGGCTCTGCTTTTTCTGTCCTGATGATTTCTCGCCCTCCTGAAAGAAATGCCTGCTTAGCACTCAGAGGTCAAAGACTGGAGGGAGTTAATTGTAAAACGAGTGTGTCCAAAGTCTTTGTAAGGCCACATGGATGGGGAAATACCATTGGTAAGTTAATGAGCATGTTAACTGACATGTTGAACATGATTTTGTGCTTAGGCTAGACAAGGGCAGATGTGGTTAATGACACACTAGCTCAGGGCTACTCAACTTTGGAAGCCCCGGGGGCCACAATGCTACTCACAGCACATGCTGAGGGCCACAACTTAAGTGTGGTTGCAAATATATGCAAATAGCTTCTTTCGCACTGACAGGCATAAATACAAAGATTAAGGCAAGACTACACCACACGCAGGCCGCATTTAAGGCAGTTCTACTATTAATCAAATGCAATATTTACCCGATTTCCACCCTTATGACAGCACTTTTCATGAGAAATGGCAGTCCAGGAATGTAACTACTAAAATGCATCTCAACAGAAGGCCATTCTATTGACTCGCCGTTGTGGAGCATGGTCCCAGTGGAGGTCGTATTGAAAGGATCTCACTCGTGTGCCATGCACCTGCACCGCGCACCGCAAACAGGCTGGGGGCGCCTGTTGAGTAGCCCTGCACTAGCTGCTTGTAGCAAACTTCGTGAGCAGCCCATGGGTGACCACAACAAGTTAACATTTTTTTCAGAAACTATTGTCCTTGTCTAAATGAGGTGCAAAGTCCCGTCTTCTAAGGTGGTGGTTTTTTCTCAGTATAGATGTGGCCAAATCATCAGTTAAAATTGCTGGACCTCATCTTCCTGGGATGCTATTTCTGATGACTTCCATCCATGGCTGCTCTGATTCTCGAATAGGATGCTTTATTCTAGGTTAGTGGAATAAGAGCAGCCATGTGGAGTTAATCAGGAATAGTTGCCCTGCTTTAAATTGGTACCCTACCTTATTCTGTACGTCTCTCATGTGTAGATAAGCCCTTAGAGCATCTCCTCAGCATGGTCAGCTATTAAGTTCTTCTTCTTGGTGGCCTATTGTGATACCTCCTTCACTACAGAGCCAGCTGGTCTAAAATACAGGCTGCTGGAGAGAGACGGGGCTGTTACTTTCGGTAGTCTGCCATGAGAGTAACTCTTACTCCTCTAGATCTTGAATAGCCCTCTCAGCTAAGGGACAAGCTTGAAATTTGATCCTATTCCCCGTGCCACTGACTCCTCACCTCTGCTTCCTTCGACAGGCGCTCCCTGCTATCCAGCCTCGACTCGTGGCTGTCAGTAAAACCAAACCTGCAGACATGGTCATAGAGGCCTACAACCAGGGGCAACGCAGTTTTGGAGAAAACTATGTGAGTGTCCCCACCTTTCTCCTGTTGTTTCATAGCCGGAAGGGACTGCTGCGATTTAGTCTGGCTTCCTGCATGATAAAGGCCACAGAATTTCCCCCACTGAATTCCTGCATCTGGCGCAACAAATTGATCTTGAGCTGTAGTGGGCCTTTCAAAACCCATCTGACAAGCATTCTCTCTCCTGCGTGGATCTGGAAGCTTTAGCCCCTGGGTCGCTAGTGAAAGTGGACTCTGCTTCCAGTCCACGGTGAGGTTTTCTTTTGTGGACAGGAGCATTTTTTCTTTATTTTAAGGTTGATTAACCACCACTGTATGAATTCTAATCTTCTCGTTTCCTGACAAATGCTCGAGTTCCATTCTAGACAGCGGGACATAGCGGAAGTGAAAGTAACTGGATCTGTTATCCAGCAAGCCATGGCTCTGGGCTGTGGCATTTCGTGGCTGGCTCCTTTGCTTACATCCTGCTCTGGTTTTGCAATTAAACCCCAGGCAGTGAGGTCAAGAAGGGAAAGCTATAAGCCGTGCCTGGAACTGACTTTCAAAACCCATTATTTCTGCACCAGGCAACTACTGTTAGCTGACCAGCGGGGACGCTAGCAAAGGGGGGGCGGGGCAGAATCCCGATGTGTGTTCTTAGTAACGTACTGAGAGGGAGCACCCTGAGTGAGTGCTGTTCAAAGTGACAGTACAAGCAAGAGCGCACTGTCTGGCCCCCAAGTACAGGGCGCCCCCCTATAAGTCACCCCGGTATACTCTGGTCCCGCACTAGCATCGTTGACACTTGTGGGAACTGTTCTAAGTCCTCCCATCCCCCACTCTTCTGTCGGGCGAAAAAAAAGACCCATTCACGTAAACAGAAGTCAGATGCAGGAAAAAAATTCCCCGCTTGACGTCCTTTCTCTAGACATCCACTTTTTTTGAACGTATCTTGGCCCTAGAGCGGGGACGCCCTGTAGTCCTTTACCAAATGCAAGAATCACCTTGGGCACTCATCCACCTAGAACCCGCTGTTCTCAATGCCAAAGTATTACATCTGTGAGCGTTACTGGGCACTACAGAAGAGTGAGCAGTCCCCTTACACGCTCCATAGGACGGCTGTAGTCGTGTATTTGCTGGTTCAGTTGCGTGGCATGTCCCAGGAATGCTGGCTGTGGCTCTGTACCTCTGCCCTTCCAGCAGCAAATGAGGCCGTGCCTGATGATAATGTAATGAGAGCATGTCTTTAATTCACTCAGGTTCAAGAGTTGCTAGAAAAGGCGTCAGACTCCAAAGTAAGTATACTGGGTGTTTGTGCAGTCTCCCCCTTGTCCCCATCCGTGTTCTAATCACCCAAGGTAGAGGCCGTTTGAGGCTCCATTTATCCAGGGAAGGGGCATCCTTAGCTTTAGGCCTGGTGAGCTGAAATCCTGAGGAGTCTGTATGGGCACACGTACCTGTAAGGTCTGCGTGTGGGATCGGGAACCTGCATGTCACTGGGAACATTAACCATTTACACGGTTACACCTTCACATCCCAAGTCTCTGCTACAGGGGATACAGATGGTTCTCAGTTGTAAAGACCAGTGATAATGACCTGCCTTTGAGAAGCCACATGGTTTTATGGTTAGCTTTTTGCTCACATTTTGAATAATACTCTATTCCCTATGCCCACGCCATAGGAGCCAACCTCACTAGCACCAACAGCACTCTGTGAGCCAGACTTCCGAGAGAGAGAGAGAGACTGTCTGTCTGTCTGTCTGTCCTTTTTTTTTCCTAGACAAACTCAGTTCCAAATGTTTTTGGTTGGTGAAAGGTTTGCGGTCCACACCCGAGTAACTCTTCCTCTCTCTTCTCAGATTCGGTCTTCATGTCCAGAGATTAAATGGCATTTTATAGGCCATCTGCAGAAGAACAATGTCAGCAAACTGATTGGTAAACTTTAAATTAACTTCTTTATGCTCAGTGTCCTGGGGCAGCACATTCTTCCTGTGTCATAACGTGCTACTTTAGTGCAGGTGGTTACAGGCCAAGAAAGAAAGGTCCTGGCTTCATGGTTTAGTCTTATTAATGTCTCCTGTTACATAGAATTGTAGAACTGGAAGGGCCCTTGAGAGGCCATCAAGTCCAGTCCACACCCTCATGGCAGGACCAAGCACCGTAGACCACCCTGACAGGTGTTTTCAGATTTCAGACCTTTCATTGTTTTGGTTGCTGTTCTCTAGACCATCTCCAATTTGTCCACATCTTTCCTGAAATGTGGTGCCCAGAACTGGACACAATCCTCCAGTTGAGACCTAATCAGTGCAGAGTAGAGTGAAAGAATTACGTCTTGTGTGTCTTCTACAACATCCCAGAATGATGTTTGCTTTTTTGGCGTATCACACTGTGGACTCATAAGTGGAGTTTTTTGCATTTCTCCTTATTGAATTTCATCCTGTTTACCTCTCTTACCACAGTCCATTCCTGCGTGGAAGCAATTCAGAGGAGCTCTGTGATTTGTTTGTTGTGCAAAAGGCCCTGAGTTGGAGGATCTGACTTTGGGCTCTGTGATATTTTCTGTTGTCTGCAAGAGCGAACTGCTTTTGTGTGAATGAACTTTCCCATATGCTCAAATAAAACACACCCTGCGGAACTCATTTCCACAAGATCTCAAAGCCCAAAAGCCTGGCAGGATTAAAAAAGATTAGACACTTGCATGAATAATGGAACTGTTCTGAGATTTAAAGGTAAAAATTTTGAAAGCCTTGGCTGGCATGGTTACACAGCAGAGCCCCTAGTGTAGCTGCAGCTCACACGTGCCAGTGAGTGGTTCTTCAGATCTAGCTGCTATGCCTGCACTGCAAAGAGAGTTTGCCTGGGTCACATCAGCTTACAGTTGCTGCAGTAATTAGTGTGGTGGGTGATAGCCATGCTACCCTCCTTCTGTTGGGTGGTGCACATCAGGAGGGGGCTGACAGCTCCGGGACCATCAGCTCCACGCCAGGAACCCAGCTGTCTCCCCCTTTCCCCGCCCCAGGCTTCTTGCCTTCCAACTCCCAACTAGTGGGGTGGGGGCCCAGCTGCCTGTGGCTTCTTACCTCCAGTGGGGAGATCCACATGTGGAATCCAGCCGGGTGCCGGGCTCCCAGGAGGCAGCAGGGCCCCATGTGAGGAGTGGGGAGCCCAGATGGCAACTCAAGCTCGGGAGTAGGATGGATATGACTAGTCGGATAGTGACTTGACTAGTTGCTCCCTCCCCCCGAGAGAGGCAGCAAGGGGGGAGAGCAGGAGCTGGTGCTGATGGAAACTGGCTTAGAAGCCAGTTCCCCGCCAGCGCCATCTCCACGGAGCAGCAGGGGAGGCAGTGGCATAGCAGGGGACTGGGCACGAGGCGGGAATCAGCTGATTCCCAGTTCATGCCTGGTCGTCACCTATTCCCTCTCCCCCCGCCCTCTACGCTTGTGCTTTTTAAATGTGCTGGGAGCTAACCCCGCTGCGGCTCTGCAGTTCCCCCCCATAAACTAGTTGATGGAAATTCCATCGACTAGTCGATTAGCTGATTAAACACCATTTAACATCCCTACTCGGGAGCCTAGGTGACACTTTGGCTTGGAGTGGAGATTAGGCAGCAGCCCAGCTCTGGAGCCAGGAGCTGCCGTTCTTGTCAGTTTCATGGCTCCAGTATGGAGCCATGAAACTGACAAGAAAGATTCCCAACAACCAATGTAAGGCCGCATTGCCCTAACTACACCATTGCCTCTTGTTGAGGGGATTTTATTATGTCCACATAGCCAGGGAGTTACATTGGCAGAAGTATTTCAGTATGTACAGCTCCATTATTTTATCAGCAAAACTCTCGTGTAGAGAAGGCCTGGATCAGGAAAAACCCACTTCTCTCCTAATGTTACTGCATCTGCACTGGGGTTTTAGTGAACCCAACTTGATGGCACAGGGTTGTGATTTCATGTCACTCCTGACCACTATGGCCACGCTGGCAAAACTCAAGTGTAGGCCAGATCTGGGACCTACGTGCTTTGGAAAATGTTACTCTGGGGTATACAAGTTTTGGGAGGCTGTGAAACCTCCTGCGCATGCACCAACTCCTCCCTCCCACAACAGAAGGATATTGGGGGGTAGATTGTCTCTTCCCTACCCACGGCAGACTTGTTTCTGCTGCTGCTGGCTACTGTGGGAGGCAGGATATGGAGCTGGATGGGACTCTGATCCGATGCCGTGGCACAATGCTCGACTCCAGTATGGAATAGTCTTTCGCGGATCCCTGGATCAGGGCAGTTGTGTTGTTTGTTTAGCACGTAGCCAGCCCGAGCGGTCTCTGTGCTGGGTCACTGTGACGTCTTAACGAGGGAGAAGATCTTCCACGGCAGAGTTAAAAAAGCTCAAGAGCAAAAGAGGGATATTTTGGGATGTGCGCTTTTCAGCAAGTAGTCAGGCTGAGCTGCCAAACTGGCCTGTGATAATCAGTGTGTTCCCCAGCCAAGTGCAGTGCCCTGAACTTCTGGGGAAGGTCTAAACTCTGTCTGGTGTATGGCGCTAAGGAATGACTGAACCCTTTGACAAGGTTGTTCTGTTTCTGTCATGATACCTGTCTGCACGTCAGCCTGTTCCTCTATCCCGTCTGCTCCCCAGAGAGAGGTTTATGGCTTCAAGTGGGGAGAAACGAACAGGGGCAGATTGTGCAAGGAGAAACCGTGTTCCTTGAACAAATGCTGCCGGTAACAAAGATCCAGGCCAGAAGAATGCAGAACTTCAAGTTAAACAGTCCCTACACTGCATGAGACACCTGCTGCTTTAAGGGTTTACCCAGCACTGCTGTTGGTTAAATCTTATTTCAAGCCTTTTCTTTGCTTACCAGAGAGAGACAGCTATTCCATTGGGTTTGCAACCTGAATTTCTCTCTCTGCCTCTGTAACTTATTGTGGTATCGTGGAGCTGGGTGCAAAGTTTCACTTCGCTCCTGCAGTGCTGTGTAGTCTGTGTGCCTCCCAGACACACAAACTACCTCCCCAGCTCTTGGTAGGGAGCTTGGTTCCGTGTGTTTCGCTTTATGGGTGGGGAAGGAGAGATCCCGAGGTGAAAAGGCTCGCCCAAGCAAATGTATTGGGACTTGGGCGATCCTGGCTACACTTAACGAGGCGATTGCCAGTTGTGGCAGGCAGCATTCCAAGTACGGTGGTTTGTGCTTTTGCTAACAGAAGTGCCTTCAAATCTGCCTCATTTCTCCCTAGCTGTCCCCAATCTGTTTATGGTGGAAACGGTGGATTCCAGGAAACTGGCAGACAAGGTGAACAACTCGTGGCAGAAAAAAGGATCGTCGCAGAGGTTAAAAATCATGGTGCAAGTTAACACCAGTGGAGAAGACAGTAAGTGGCTCGACACTGGTGCTCATGACATTCATGTTCTTTTTAGCACCGATGATGGCCAAATAGCCAGCGGTTTAGACTGATCTGTGTGTTTAAAGAGCTACTCCAGCTTACCTCTGAAATCCAACCTGCTTTCAGTGTGTTCAAATCGTGGAGACGTATCTTTCCAGTCTGAATAGCTCAGTCAGAAACCCCCACTGTTCCTGGGAAATTGGGGAGGAGGTACATCCCGCAAGAAAAGCGGGGTTGGCCTCGGCTGGCATCCCCCGAGCAGTTACTGCTCTTCCTCACGTTGTCCTGGCCTCAGTTGCGCAGCCGATGTCTGTTTGTTTCCAGTGCCACTGGGAACATGGGGAGGGAGGGCAGGTGACCTAGCAGAAATCCAGCGGGTATGTGATGAGACGGACACAAGCATTTTAGGTCAGGTCTCCACTTAAGCTTTTACCAGCATCGCTATAGTCTGCTATTGCTTTGTGTGTGTGTGGTGGGGAGGGGCTGTCTTTAACACACCTGCAAGGACAAAAGGCTCTGGCGTAGAGGCAGTTGGAGCCGCAAAAAATGCTTTTGCCTGGTTGCCTTATTCTGGGTCAGTCAGTTAAATATGCTCCACTGGAAAATCAGTGTTTTAGTGGCATCGGTTGAACCTCTCTCGTCCGGCAACATCTGTGGTCTGGCATGATTTGAATTAGCAGGATGTCCACTGATCGTGCCTGTGGCCAAGTTTCCTGCAGTCCCACCTGGCCTGGCTCTCAGTGCTCTGTGCTGTTGTTTAGCTCGAATTTACCCCTCAGAGCCCAGCAAGCAGTGGAGGTGTTGGTCATGCTGCTAGAAACCCTGACCTCCCGTGGTCCGGCAAACTGTCTGGTTCAGCATCGGTCAGGTCCTGAGGGTACCGGGCTAGAGAGATTCAACCTGTATAATTGCATGTCTGCCCCAAGGGGGTTGAGCAAAGTAGTTCTACCAGCAAACCTTAGACGGGGGCTCATCTTTGTAAGCACAGAGGAGGGGTTGCAGAAAACAGAGTAAGCAGGGCTCCGTGTCCCTCTCTTTCCAAGTTGATTTTCTTTTCACAGGGATAGATGTTTGTGCTGCAGACCTTCTGGGCACTGCTCCTCCATCGGGTACGGTGCCCCTGGCTGCAGTGCCAAGGAGGACGCGTAGGCAACTTTTCAATGCTCTAAAAGCACTGGGATCTGGGTGGCCACACCCGCTACTCCATAGCTGTTGACAGGCCGCAGGGGGCCGTCCCGTTCCGTGCTCCGCGGTGAGAGCCCCAGGGAGCAGTTCGAACCTGCTGTCGGCTGTAGGTTTTGGTGGGCTACCTTACAACAGTGAGAGCCATAGCTGGGCAGGGAGCTTGATGTGGAGTTTGGCGTGTGTTGCCAGTGCGCTCTCCGCCTTCTTTTCCAGGCAAGCATGGCCTCCCGCCCGCAGAAACGGTGGGAACCGTGGAGCATATCATCAAGCAGTGTCCAAGCCTGGAGTTTGTCGGCCTGATGACAATTGGCAGCTTCGGCCATGACCTCAGTAAGGGCCCCAATCCTGACTTCCAGGTAAGACTTACTGGAGCTGAGTCTTCAGGCTCACTGGAAATCAGCGGCAGGATTCCCATTGCCTGGGAGCAGAGTTCAGCCGTCCTGGCGGCTCCCCTAGCTAGGGCTTGTGGCCAGCCACCCACGCTGCCTGTGAGGGGAAGCACAGCTGCCAGGTACCAAACTGACCGGGACTTCACCATCTCCCCCGCACAGACACGCAGCAGCGAGACGAAAGGTGCAGCCCTTGCCCGCCCGGCTGCCAGGGCGGAGGCTTTGCTGAGAGTAACCGCTGTGTTAACCAATGAGCATCCATGTCTCGGTTGAACGGTTGGTTGTGTACGCTCCGCAAAGCCTCCTACTTCCCCAGTCCGATTAAACTGGCGCCCTGTGCCCGATGCAGCCCGGACGGGCGGTTTATAGAGCTGAGATTCCAGCACCGCAGCACCGCGCTAGGGAAATAGTTTTACAGCAGATTTGAAACTCGGGTCCTGTCAACTCGCACAGACAGTTCAGAACAGATGAGATGGACCTGGGCTTGGCAAAGGCCTGTTCAGCGGCTTCGTTGCCACTCGTATGGCAGAGCCACAGAGCAGGGGCAGGACAAGGCAGGTGGGTGGCTGTTCAGGCGCCCTGTGCCACTGCGTGTTCTGTGGCTGGGTAGGGATGCCCCAGCCAGCTCTGAATTACCAGGCCTGCTCCAGCCGTGCTGCTGTGCTGCCCTGATCCCTTGAGGACGCGAAGGCGCATGTGTGTTGTCACTAACGTGCCCTATAGGCTGCACTGTGCATTTCCAAAAGCTCACAAGGCAGTTTGGAAGCAGACAGAGCCCTTGAGGACAGGGGGGATGGGACTGCAGCCGGATGTAGGGAGGCTCCAGAGAAGGGCCAAATGCTGCTTCTGGGCCACGGTGAAAAGGGTTCAGGGTGCCAGCCGAGCCGTGTGTGATCTGCCCCTCCGTTCCTCTTTCAGATGTTGATATCCTTGCGCCAGGAAGTGTGTGAAAAGCTAAATCTCCCCATTGAAACAGTTGAGCTGAGTATGGGCATGTCCACGGATTATCAACACGCCGTAAGTCTGCTTCTCTTTGGCCACCCCCCCCAATGCACCTCCCCTTGGGGTAACGAGCGCACAGGCCAGTGATCAGACCAGCCTGCAAGGAGATGCTGGGCCATCTCCCTAGGAGCACAGCTGGACTGGGAGCCTGGCACTGGGCCGTCGCTGATCTCTGATAGCTTCCCAGAGGAAGGATGGCTCCAGTGACATCCACCTTAGCATGGCTTTCAGCACGCGCCCTGTTAAGGATGCAGCCTGTGTATCTCAGGGACCCCATCAGGGCTCCCTGTAAGCCGGGCGCTTGTGCGGCAGCTCAGGAGAGATTCAAGGGCTGCCCAGCTGATGAGCAGAGTGCCCACAGCTAGGTTTGTGTTTCTACTGGTGGTGCACATTTGCATGTGTCTTGTTGAGCATAAAAATATTCCACACATGGATGGGAAAAATCTCCCCATGGATGAAAAAGATTAGCGGGAACACTGCTTACTACCGGAGTAAAGGAGGAAAACGGCGCTTTGAAGCCCAGATGCGGAGCAGAGCTTGCCTGTGGGACTAGCAGACGTGCAGTCTGGTGTGTCCTAGTGGTTAATCCCAGACTGGGTTACTGATAGAGCTAATGGCCCATGGGGAGACTATATGAGGAGAGGTTAAAGCGACTGGGACTTTTCAGTTTAGAAAAGAGGAGACTGAGGGGGGGATATGATAGAGGTCTATAAAATCCTGAGTGGTGTGGAGAGGGCTGATAAAGAAAAGTTATTTATTAGTTCCCATAATAGACGAACTAGAGGACACCAAATGAAATTAATGGGTAGCAGGTTTAAAACTAATAAAAGAAAGTTCTTCTTCACACAGCGTGTAGTCAACCTGTGGAACTCCTTGCCAGAGGAGGCTGTGAAGGCTAGGACTATAACAGAGTTTAAAGAGAAGCTGGATAAATTCATGGAGGTTAGGTCCATAAAAGGCTGTTAGCCAAGGGATAGAATTGGTGTCCCTGGCCTCTGTTTGTCAGAAGCTGGAGAGGGATGGCAGGAGACAAATCGCTTGATCATTGTCTTCGGTCCACCCTCTCTGGGGCATCTGGTGCTGTCCACTGTTGGCAGACAGGATACTGGGCTAGATGGACCTTTGGTCTGACCCAGTACGGCCGTTCTTATGTTATGTTCTATTGTCCAGCAGCATGACCGACACGGCCACTGTTGGCTGGGCTCTTAGAAGGGGTAAATTCGAGCTAAATAACAGCACAGAACAAGGAGAGCCAGGCCTGCTGGCTGTAACCAAACTGAATGGGACTGTGGGAAACTTATCCACACCCCTGATAAGTGAACGCCCGGCTCACTAAACCGTGCCAGACCCCGGATGTTGCTGGCTCAGAGGGTGCAGGACTGGAGAGGTTCCGCCTGTCTGAGGGCTGTCTTGTTCTCTCTCCTCTCCAGATTGAGGTTGGCTCCACAAATGTCCGGATTGGAAGCATCATTTTTGGCGAGCGGGACTACTCCAACAAACCGGCCCATGGCAAGGCCCCGGGTGAGGCCGAAAGCCGAGCAAAGACCATGGCAGCTACGGAGCACTAAATGGGAAGAAGAAAGTGGATCTAAGCTACAGCACACCAGGGAGACCTAACTAGGCACTTTCATCTCCTTCTGGAGCGGCAGCTTGTCATGCTGGCGAGGGGAAACACCTGGTAATAAAGCAGCAGCATCAGAACTGATAACGATTATTGTGTGAGAGTAGGAACTGGATTTGTACCCGCAAACAACATGAAGATTTGTGATTGAAAACTGACTTCAGTATTGTAGCTAAGGACAATCACTCTTGGACCCCGTATCGGACAACCTGATTAAGCCCTAGAATTGAGTTAACGAGCGAGAGGCATCTCCAGCAGTCTCAAGCGATTCTGGTTTTAATCTGAGGAATGGTTTGCCTGATGGAGAACTACCTTCTGGTTAGCCCGTTTTCTCTGCGGCATTGTTCAGCCTCCGCTCGTTTTGTGTGAGAAGCTGTGTGGTATGATTGCACCGTACGTGTAGGTAGAAGCCACTCTGTAGAGACCTGTCACACCGAATGGTACTGACGCCCACAGCTGAGTGAATAAAGACCACGGTTGTTAGTGTAAGTCGATGACCCCCGGCTTGTGGCACAGGAATGGGAAGGTGTGAGTGGGTTGGCTGACTAGACTTTGTATTTGTCCTTTCCAGACTGGCACTTATCACTGATGACACATCTCTCGTCTTTGTAGGTCCCTGTTGAGCCTTGTAAAATGTTGATGGGAGCTATTTACATCCTACCCCATAGGTCTGGGTGCAGTGTTCCCTACTGGCTAGAGCAGGGGGGCTGCATCTCAGATTCCTGGCTCTGCCATTGACTTGCTAGGTGATCCTAAGCAAGCTTCTTAACTGCTCTGTGCCTCAGTTTTCCCCATCTGTAAAATGGGGATAATAATACTGCCCTATCTCACATGGGGGATTGTGAGGCTTGCTCATGTGTAACATGTGACCCCCTCGGAGGAAAGGTGCAGAAATGCAAAGTATTATTACCCCAGTATGTCCAGATGTACATGAAATTGGTCGTACTACCTCTGCACACGGGCTGTAGTGTAGCTCCCAACATTCACTTACTCGTTGGCCCAGGCCTCGACATTTTCTAAAGTAGCACAGGAGGTTGCTCTGCTAGCCAGGCTCGGATATAAATGCCCGTCCTTCTTCCAGCACCTGGCTTCACTGGCAGCGTTTTCAGCTGGTCTGCTTTGAAATTTGCATTTTGACAGTCGACTTCAGGGCCTTGTCTGTTGCCAGAATAAGATCCTACTTGCCACTAGCTTTTCACGGCAAAGGGCCTCCCTCTCTGTGCACGTGGTTAGTCAGATCAGCTGTGGGTTTAGCTGCGAAATGCGTCTGAAAAGCACAGTTTGTGCTACAGAGCCTCAGCACCGCGTGCAGTCCCAGGACTCTCATCAGAGCTGCCACGGGTGGCGTGTGAGTTCAGGGGGGCGGGGGCCCAGCCACTAAAAGGTGGTTTTCACGTGCCGGGGTTTTGGATGAGCGCTGTGGGACCGTTGCTAGTTGCCATGCGAGACCTCTGCATAGCATGGGCCTGATGTTTAGGGGGACTGGCTTGTCTCGGTGGAGGGGTTGCTTTGAAAGGCAGCAGCAGCACCAGGCCTGCATTGGAAGACGGGTTTCTTGAGCAGTGGAGAGAAGAAATGGAGCCGGAAGCTGCCGGGCGTCCTCACTGAAGTGAGCAGCGCGTCCTGTGCCTCTGGGTGGCACTGTGCCCCAGTTCTGCAGAGCTGTCTTGGGAGCCGGCTTGAAAGGGGCAGCCTGCAGGGCGTCGGGGCTCTGTGTGCGGCCCACAGGACGTTTGTTTACCGCTGCCCCTGCGCTGGGCTGCCAGGCTCCACTGCTTTGGCCCATGGCGTTTCTTCCAGCCGGTGTCACTGCGTGTGCGCTGATTGCACACAGTGGGGCTGCCTGCTTGCTGGGCTTTGGGCATGTGGGGGGTCTGCTCTGTGCCCCCAGAAGGGGCGGGGCTGAGGCTAGGCAGCCCTCAGTGCTGCTCGGAGCACCCGGCGCTCCAGTAGCCTTTTCAAGGGCCTGTGGCTGTAGCAGCCACCGTGGCAGCAGCCAGGAGCTCCGGGCCCTTTTGTAACACTGGGCCCTGGAGCAGTTGCCCCCTTTCCCCCTCCGCCAGTCTCTTCCTCCTGTTGGCACACGACACTGACGGCGAGAGCCGCACGCTCCCCCTGCAACCAATCACAGCGCTGCTACGGTTCGGTCGGCACCCCCTGCAAATTCTAGGTACCCACGCGCAGCGCGCAGCACTGCCCCATCCCGGGAGAGTGACTTGGTTACGACAATCTGGTGGCCCCCTGAGATGGAGGCAGGACACTCCTGTGGCCCCCTCACTCGCCTGGGCTCCCCGTGGCTGGGGAGGTCCCTTTGTCGGGGGTACAGATCCATTCATAAGAACCACAGGCGGCAATGTGAGCCTAGCTAGCCAGAGGTGCAGAAGCGTTGGTGCTCTCCAGCCCCGAGGAGGTGGGGACGGAGCAGGAGGTACCTGACCAAGGACTTAAGCGGGAGCGAGGGATCTCTACAAGTGCCAGGGAGCGTGGGATTGCAGGGCCCTGGCGGTGCGGTGGATATTGAATGCTGGAGAGGGGCATTCAAACAACACACCAGGTCACAAATGACCACGAGTGTTTGGTCAAAGGCTTGGTCGTGCGTTAACCAGTTAACGTCTTTATTGAAGCCCAGGATAACACACTACAAAGCCAATTTCCCCTCCCTTTGACATTTGCATTTTCACGACAAAAACTAATAATGGGACAGAGTCAGCCCACTCAATTAGCCTCATTAACACGGGTCCTACCATTGACAGGTATTTCTGCTGCTGCTATGTATCTCTTGGTTTTTGTTATTTCCACTCTAATTCTTCTGATGAAGTGGCCTTTACCTGCAAAAGCCTGTGAGCCATTTTGGTTAGTCTCTAAGGTGCCATAGGACCACTCGTTTTTCGAGTTACAGACTAACCCTGCGGAGACTTTTTACCAAAATATTGTGTTCGCATATGTCCAAGATTTCTGTTCTTTCCTACAGTTTCATCCTATTTACTCGTGGCTTACTCCGGGTTTACCTGTGGAGCCTTTTTTTAAAAAGTCTCGACCTTAGGTGTCTGTCTACCAGTCATCTGGTACCCAGTTGATTTTAAGGGAGAGGTTACATCCCACTGCTAATCTTGCTTCAATTTCATATTTCCGTTTCTTCAGAACTCTGGGGTGAATACCATCTGGCCCTGGTAACTTACTCCTGTTTCATGTAGCAATTTGGTCCAAACCCCCTCGGTTAACGCGTCAGTCTGGGACAGTTCCTTAGTTGTGTTTCCTAAAAAGAAAGTGAGGGCGACGGCCTTCTCTTCCTTTAGCGCCCCTGTTGTCCGGTGCCACGCCTGGCTGTTTGGCTGGCGTCCTGCTTCTGATGTGCTTAGAAATAGTTTTGCTGTTTTTGTCGTTTTTGAATTGCTTTTCAGATTGGTGGGGGTGGTTTTTGGCCTGCCTAATTATACTTTTACACTAGACTTGCCAGAGTTTATGCTCCTTTCTGTTCTCTGCAGTAGGATTTGACTTCTATTTTTGAAAGGCTGTCTGCGTCTCGCCCCCTTTTACTCTGTTTGGCTAGGAGGGTATTTTTGGGTGGGCTGCTTGCAGGCATATCGCTCTTGGGAATGTCCATCTCATTTCCATTTAACTAGCTTCCTCTGTTTTTGGGGTCGTTCCCCTTTCTGAAGTTAATGTTCCTGTGAGGGGTTTCTTGAGTGTTCCCCCTCCACGCGGATGTTAAATATAACTACGTGACAGTTGCTGTTACTGGTGTTGAGTTATAGTCACCTCTTGGCTCACACCCTGCGTGCCAGTGCAAATGCAGCTTTTAAAAACTAGGTTTGGGGCAGGGAAGCCTGAGCTAACACTGCAGGACTGGCTGTTGCTTAACGTAGCTTTTTGGAGTCAAGTCCTGTCTGCGCCGCATGTTCGACTCCCGCCAAGCAATGCGCACCCCCAAGACGTACTCAGATTGTAGAGTCCCCTTGAACTCTGTGTAAGCCCCACACCTGTGGGGCGTGAGTCTGTCCCATGGAGGGGCACTAAGACCGCTCACAAAAGAATGAGTCTGCCCCACGGCCCTAGCCGGAGCCAGCTGGCTTTTCGCTCAAGCCCTGAGCTCCAGATTCAATCCTGCCTGTCAGCGTTAGGTCTGCATGAACTGTAGCGCCCGGCTCTCTCCCAGGGCGCATGAGACCATCCCTGGGTAGTCTGGGCGATGTCCCAAAGCATTAAAACCGTGGATCGTTCCCAGCTGGAGTCCTATTCTGCTCCCTCCATGGCAGCGGCTGAGGAGCGCCTCCGTGCTCAGCCTCTATAGATAAAGGCCAACCCTAAAGGGGGAGCTTGCTGCTCTAAAGGCAGCTTTGTCAAACGGCTGAACTTTCCAGCCAGAAGGAATCTTCCCTCCCCCTCCCTCTCTGCAGAGCCGGGCTGGTTGCTTTCCGATGCTATCTCGTGTGTTGCACGGTACGTGGAGCCGAGCGGAACCTTCTTGCCCGTCTGAAATGAAATGAGCGCGTGACCCTGCTTGACAGATGTGCAGGAAAGCGCCCATGCTGGGCAGGCCTTGGACGGTCTCTGGTCCCCAGCAGGTGCCCTGCGCCGCAGCTGCTGGACCGCGGGGGCAGGAGGCAAAGCAAAGCCGTCGCCTCTCCCCGGAGGCGGCAAGGGCCGAGGAGGAGACCTGGCTTTCAACTTCGGCCCCCAGGGCATCGGGCCCAGCCCCAGCGTGGCCATGTGCAGGAAAGCGCCCATGCTGGGCAGGCCTTGGACGGTCTCTGGTCCCCAGCAGGTGCCCTGCGCCGCAGCTGCTGGACCGCGGGGGCAGGAGGCAAAGCAAAGCCGTCGCCTCTCCCCGGAGGCGGCAAGGGCCGAGGAGGAGACCTGGCTTTCAACTTCGGCCCCCAGGGCATCGGGCCCAGCCCCAGCGTGGCCACGTTTCCAGTCTCTCTGGGGAAAGAGCCAGCTGCAGCCCTCTCGGCTCCTGAGCCCGCCCCGACTAC